TGTGACATTTGTGAATATAGAGAGGGACATGGGACAGGTGTGAGATTTGTGAATATAGAGAGGGACATGGGACAGGTGTGAGATTTGTGAATATAGAGAGGGACATGGGACAGGTGTGACATTTGTGAGTATAGAGAGGGACATGGGACAGGTGTGAGATTTGTGAGTATAGAGAGGGACATTGGACAGGTGTGACATTTGTGAGTATAGAGAGGGACTTGGGACAGGTGTGAGATTTGTGAGTATAGAGAGGGACATGGGACAGGTGTGAGATTTGTGAATATAGAGCGGGGACTTGGGACAGGTGTGAGATTTGTGAGTATAGAGAGGGACATGGGACAGGTGTGAGATTTGTGAGTATAGAGAGGGACATGGGACAGGTGTGAGAGATTTGTGAGTATAGAGAGGGACATGGGACAGGTGTGAGATTTGTGAGAATATAGAGAGGGACATGGGACAGGTGTGAGATTTGTGAATATAGAGAGGGACATGGGACAGGTGTGAGATTTGTGAGTATAGAGAGGGACATGGGACAGGTGTGTGAGATTTGTGAGTATAGAAGGGACATGGGACAGGTGTGAGATTTGTGAAGTATAGAGAGACATGGGACAGGTGTGAGTATATAGAGAGGGACATGGGACAGGTGTGAGATTTGTGAGTATAGAGAGGGACATGGGACAGGTGTGAGATTTGTGAATATAGAGAGGGACATGGGACAGGTGTGAGATTTGTGAGTATAGAGAGGGACATGGGACAGGTGTGAGATTTGTGAATATAGAGAGGGACATGGGACAGGTGTGAGATTTGTGAATATAGAGAGGGACATGGGACAGGTGTGTGATTTGTGAATATAGTGTGGGACAATATTAGGACAGGTGTGAGATTTGTGAATATAGAGAGGGACATTGGACAGGTGTGACATTTGTGAATATAGAGAGGGACATGGGACAGGTGTGAGATTTGTGAATATAGAGAGGGAGTGGGACAGGGACAGGACAGGTGTGAGATTTGTGAATATAGAGGGACATGGGACAGGTGTGAGATTTGTGAATATAGAGAGGGGACTTGGGACAGGTGTGAGATTTGTGAGTATAGAGAGGGACATGGGACAGGTGTGAGATTTGTGAATATAGAGAGGGGGACATTTGGATTTGTGTGGGATTTGTGTGAGTAGATTTGTGAGTATAGAGAGGGACATGGGACAGGTGTGAGATTTGTGAATATATAGAGACAGGGACATGGGACAGGTGTGAGATTTGTGAAATATAGAGAGGGACATGGGACAGGTGTGGTAGAGATTTGTGAGATATAGGAGGGGACACCAGAGGACAGGTGTGGAGATTTGTGAGTGTGACGAGGACATAGGACCGCAGGTGTGAGATTTTGTGGACTGGGACAGGTGTGAGAGATGTGTGAGCCATATAGAGAGGACATGGGACAGGTTTGACATTTGTGTGAGTATAGAGAGGAGACATGGGACAGGTGTGTGATTTGACAGATGTAGAGAAGGACATGGGACAGGTGTGAGATTTGTGAGTATAGAGAGGGACATGGGACAGGTGTGAGATTTGTGAGAATATAGAGAGGGACATAGGGACAGGTGTGAGATTTGTGAATATAGAGGGACATGGGACAGGTGTGGATTTGCAGAGAAGTATAGAGGAGGGACAGGAATGGGACAGGGGTGTGGACATTTGTGAGTATAGAGAGGGACATGGACAGTGGACAGGTGTGAGATTTGTATACAGAGGACATGGGACAGGTGTGAGATCTGTGAGCAGGAGGGACTGATGGACAGGTGTGACATTTGACAGAATCATAGAGGACAACAAGGACTTGGTGAGACAGGAGTGAAACATGTGACAGTATGTGAGAGGGACATGGACAGGTGTGAGACACAGGAATATAGGACATGGGACTTAGGACAGACATTGAGATTTGTGAGGACATGGAGACAGGGACACGGGACAGGTGGACACGGACAGGACAGAGATTTGTGTGTGACATAAGAACAGGAGGACATGGACAGGAGACGAATGAGATTCCCAGACAGAGAGGGACATGGGACAGGAGACAGACATTTGGAGTACAGAGCAGGGACATGGGACAGGTGGTGTGAGACATTTGTGAGGAGGACATGGACAGGACAGGTGACATGGATTTGTGAATATAAGGAATGGACATGGGACAGGTGTGAGGACACTGGATCTAGGAGGGACAAGGTGGAGAGGTGTAGGATTTGTGAGGAGACATGGACATTGGACAGAGGACATGGACATTTGTGAGTATAGAACAGGGACATGGGGACAGAACAGTAGAGGAATTTGTGAATATAAGAGGGACATGGACAGGACAGACTTGTGAACATTTGGGACACAGGACAGGACTTGTGAATGAGGACACTGACAGTGGAGATCTGTGAACAGTGGACCCCAGGACCTGGTGAGACGAAGAGAGGACATGGACAGTGGACAGGTGAGACTCCAGGAATAAGACACGGACTCCAGGACAGGTGGAGGACTCCAGAATACAGAGGACACGTGACAGACTTGTGGACAGGATTTGAGGATTTTAGGACAGGGACACAGAAGAGACAGGTGGACAAAGAGAGGACATGGACAAGGTGTGGAGACGGAACACAGAGGGACATGTGGACAGGCTACAGAGGGATGGACAGGTGGAAGGACACGTGAACATGGACAGGACATTTGTGAACACATAGACATGGACAAGGTGGAGACATGTGACAGGTGTGGATGGACAAGACACTTGTGAGGACATAGGACAGGTGAGATATTTGTGAATGAGACAGAGGAGGACATGGACAGGTCACTTGGAGAGACACCCATGTATAGAGAGGACATGGGACAGGTGAGATTTGTGGACAGGACAGGGGACAGGGGACATATTGTGAGACAGAGGGACATGGACATGTGAGATTTGTGAGTATAGAGAGGGACATGGGACAGGTGTGAGATTTGTGAATATAGAGAGGGACATGGGACAGGTGTGAGATTTGTGAATATAGAGAGGGACAATATTGGGACAGGTGTGAGATTTGTGAATATAGAGAGGGACATGGGACAGGTGTGAGATTTGTGAATATAGAGTGGGACAATATTAGGACAGGTGTGAGATTTGTGAATGTAGAGAGGGACATGGGACAGGTGTGAGATTTGTGAATATAGAGTGGGACAATATTGGGACAGGTTTGAGGATTTGTGAATTTGAGAATATAGAGTATAGAGGACATGACAGGACAGGTGAAGGACGGAGGACAGGGTGTGACATTTGTGAATGTAGAGGGACATAGGACAGGTGTGAGATTTGTGAATATAGAGGAGGAATATTAGGACAGGTGTGAGATTTGTGAATATATAGAGAGGGACATGGGACAGGTGTGAGATTTGTGAATATAGTGTGGGACAATATTAGGACAGGTGTGAGATTTGTGAATATAGAGAGGGACATGGGACAGGTGTGAGATTTGTGAATATAGAGAGGGACATGGGACAGGTGTGAGATTTGTGAATATAATGGGACAGGTGTGAGATTTGGACAATATTTGACAGGTGTGAGATTTGTGAATATAGAGAGGGACATGGACAGTGTGGACATTTGTGAGATAGAGTGAACATTGGGACAGGTGTGAGATTTGGAATATAGAGATGGACATGGACAGGTGTGAGATTTGTGAATGTAGAGAGGGACATGGGACACGTGTGAGATTTGTGAATATAGTGTGTGACAATATTGGGACAGGTGTGAGATTTGTGAATATAGAGAGGGACATGGGACAGGTTTGAGATTTGTGAATGTAGAGAGGGACATGGGACAGGTTTGAGATTTGTGAATATAGAGTGGGACAATATTAGGACAGGTGTGAGATTTGTGAATATAGAGAGGGACATGGGACAGGTTTGAGATTTGTGAATATAGAGAGGGACGTTGGACAGGTGTGAGATTTGTGAATGTAGAGATACACTGTGCCATGTGTATTTTAGTGACACTGTGCCATGTGTATGTTAGCGACACTGCCATGTGTATGTTAGCGAAACTGTGCCATGTGCATGTTAGTGACACTGTGCCATGTGTTTGTTAGTGACACTGTGCCATGTGTTTGTTAGCGACACTGTGCCATGTGTATGTTAGTGACACTGTGCCATGTGTATGTTAGTGACACAGTGCCATGTGTATGTTAGTGACACTATGCCATGTGCATGTTAGCATCACTGAGCCATGTGTATGTTAGCGACACTGTGCCATGTGTATGTTAGCGACACTGTGCCATGTGCATGTTAGTGACACTGTGCCATGTGTATGTTAGCGACACTGTGCCATGTGCATGTTAGCGACACTGTGCCATGTGTATGTTAGCAACACTGTGACATGTGTATGTTAGTGACACTGTCCCATGTGCATGTTAGTGACACTGTGCCATGTGTATGTTATTGACATTGTGCCATGTGCATGTTAGTGACACTGTGCCATGTGTATGAGAGTGACACTGTGCCATGTCCATGTTAGTGACACTGTGACATGTGTATGTTAGCGACACTGTGCCATGTGTATGTTAGTGACACTGTGACATGTGTGTGTTAGCGACACTGTGCCATGTGTATGTTAGCGACACTGTGCCATGTGTATGTTAGCGACACTGTGCCATGTGTATGTTAGCGACACTGTGACATGTGTATGTTAGCGACACTGTGACATGTTAGCGATGCTGTGACATGTGTATGTTAGCGATACTGTGACATGTGTTTGTTAGCGACATGCTGCTGACTGTAAATGTGTGAGAAATATGTATGACCTGCTTATACAGCCCAGCTGTTGTCCAGCTGACACAATTATGACACAATCACTGCATAATATTTCACTATAATTATAACAGTGGTATGTGCATGTTCGTTTAACGTCACGGGCAACTGGGATATGATGACATGCATGTACTAAGTCAATGAGTGGAACCAGGCTGGTTGCTAAAAACTGTTTCCTACCTTTTACTCCGAGGCCATTCAAACAGTGAAAATTAACATGTGTTTCACATGATTTTTTCCACCACTGTCTTTTGTATTTGTATTAAATGATGTTTCTAAAACATACTACAGTTCTCTGTTGCCGATAAATGTTTGGCTTAGACAGTAACCAATCAAATGATTGCTTCACATGTTTACCTGTAAATCATCATCTGACAGGTAAAGTTTGAATACACCCATGTCACTGTAGTATGGCTGATATTGTTACATCATATAACTTGTTCATACATATAGTAGGTGTAGATCTATTTGTTTTGAGGGCCTTCCGACCTGTTTGGTATTGTTACCGGACTTGTATACACCTGTAAAATAGTATGTACTCCTGTTATAAGGTTGATTAGGAGATCGCTTTCATGTATGTTGTCACTCAAAGGAGATGGAGATATTTGTTTGTTTGTTTACACTGTGCTAGCAAATAAGGCTGTGTTTGCTCATCAGGTGGAGATCTGATTTCCTACTATCATCCCCCGCCCCCCTCCACACACACACCCACACACACACATGAGTGAGTGAGTTTATATTCCAGCTATATGGTGGCGGTCGGTAAATAATCGAGTCTGGACCAGACAATCCAGTGATCAACAGCATGAGCATCGATCTGCGCAATTTGGAACCATTGACATGTGTCAACCAAGTCAGCGAGCCTGACCACCCGATCCCGTTAGTTGCCTCTTACGACAAGCATGGGTTACTGAAGGCACACTCTAACCCGGACACACACTCACACACACACACGAATGATATTGAGACTTGTGATAATTGTTGTACTTATTGGTTAATCAGGCTGAAAGGGTCGTTGTTGGCACGGGTACTACAGATGTGTACCCCAGGTACGTTTCTGTATACAGAAATGTACCCTGGCCATAATCAGAATACAGAAATGTACCCTAGGACGATTCCATTCTGCATTGTGGAGTTTTCTTGATCGGAACTGTCATACTGTTGTATTAGATGCATTTGATTGCGTTATATAAGAGCATACACAGTATAAGGGGCAGTGGGATAGCCTAATGGTTAAAGCGTTGGCTCGTCACGCCGGGGACCCGGGTTCGAATCCCCACATGGGTACAATGTGTGAAGCCCATTTCTGGTGTCCCCTGCCGTGATGTTGCTGGAATATTGCTAAAAGTGGCGTAAAACCAAACTCAGTCAGTCAGTCAGACAAAGTATAACGAATATTCCACGGTGCACAACATACACCACTCACAATCAGCTGAACGGGAATAACTACAGTATTGGGTCGCGGAATATGGACTCGTCCGTCGTTTAGGGTACCGGGTACGTTTCTGTAGATTGACTTTGTTTAGGGTACATGTCTGTATGCAGAAACATACCTGGGGTCATTACATACGAATTAAGGGGCGGTGGGGTAGCCTGGTGGTTAAAGCGTTGGCTCGTCACGCCGAAGACCCGGGTTCGATTCCCCACATGGGCACAATGTGTTAAGCCCATTTCTGGTGTCCCCCGCCGTGATATTGCTGGAATATTGCTAAAAGCGGCGTAAAACTAAACTCAGTCAGTCAGTCAGACATACGAATTATACGAAACGAGTGTCCTTCCTGTGGTATCTGACCGAGCGAAAGCGAGGTCAGATAACATAGGAAGGTCACGAGTTTCGTATAATTCGTATGTAATGAGACCGAGTGTGGTATTTTATTTATTACCGACGTCTTACATGCATTTAAATTGACAAAATAGCGTATTTTTGTTATGTTTTTGGTTTCAAACCGAAACCGGTTTCATAAAGAGGTTGCGGAAGAGTTTTGTACTGTAGTACAATATGTGCATGACGCCACACTAATGACATCACTGCCATGGTAACCGACGTCACGATGCATGTCAGTTGTCAACGCCTCGTACAGCCTCCTACAGTAAACTACTCCGTTGCACCTCATTTCTTGGTTTCCAGTTGCTTCATTCGGCTAACATCACTGGTGGAAACATTGCGTTTATGTTTTTCGACAGATATAATGTCTCAGTTCGACTCACAATTAAACAGCGACACGGCAACGTTAGCAATGTTTACATTCTCACACTACATTTAGTTGTAGAATGAATGAATTCACGTGTTTGTTATGAATGAAAAAATAGTTACGTCAGAATGTGACCTAATTGAGAGGTCATCGGTTATCCAATCAAATCGTTAGAATTTCAGGTCAAGTCGTTACGACACAGGTCAACGCGATACGACACTCGTGTGACGTACGAGATTAATATGCAACTACCCATACGTTGACCACGTGGATAATAAATATCTCTAGTACCTGTGCCGACAACGCCCCTTCAGCGTTAATCAGCACTGAACATGACATTTTAGTGGTATCTGACTGTAGTTAATTCTTGATGTTAATGCCATTAAAGTAAAATCATAGGACACCCTTACGTACAATTTCACTAACTTTTTGAGTCTCATGTTTACATTGTTCACACCCTTTTCCCACACACCAAAACATCGGAGTTTCACGCCCCTACTTAGCACCTGACTGTAGCAACACTGCCCCAGATTACTGCAGCAGTGTGCATCTGTACAACCAGCCAGTCTGCCACACAGTGGCCGCAGCTCCTAGCTCCACCACAGGCTGCTATATATACGGCAACCTGCTTCAGTCGTCAGTGCCAGGCATTCCTCAAGGCAGTGTGTCCCATTCACAGGGTAAGCCAGCCTATTATCCCCACCAGTGAGGGTATGCATTGTTTCCCAGACCCCAAGCCTGTTTACCCTGCTAGTGAGAGCTACACGCTTCAGTGGAACACACCTCACAGATCCTTGATAAAGTTCAGCCCTGTGCTCAACTGTGGCTGGGGTCAAGGTAGTGTACATGTGAGTTGGAAGGAAGGAAGGAAGTAGAAGACTACTAAACTTCTAAATTGATCCTTCAGGCTGTGTAGCTAGAGGGGTGTTATGTAGAGGCAGTGGTGTGTCGACTTCATGGTAGACTGGTTATCTTCCAAACAGTGTGAGTATGTCCAGAGTTGTCATGTGGATCTTACCATATATAACTTACTCCAACTCCAACCTGTGCTCTAGACGGGTCTCCTGCAGGTGTGGGAAATACAAGTACCCAGTGTGTGATTGAGTTAATTCATTGTTTCAGGCAGGTTGTGTCAATATTTGATTGTGATAACAGATTATTATTGTGTTGAGAAGTTGTATCAGTTATGGGGGTAAAGGGTATATAACAGTCGGTTCATGTATCTTCATGGAAATATGTTGGAACATTCTAACTTATAGTGTTATTAATTATTCAAACTCTCTTGCAGATAAATACATTTTAGATTATATAAAAATAATGGTATTTCTTTCTGATATTAGTGTGATTTCATGTTGAACAATGGGGAAATTTCTATGGATATATATACAACTCTATGTTTCTGTGTAGTTGCAACACCATTATCAAGCACTTGCACTTGCTTGATAACAGTGTTAGCATCTGTGCCAAACGGTCACCTACATTAATAATAAAGAAGCTGTATATCTGAACTTTCTCCATTTTTCCATATTCTACATGCCACTGAAAGAAGTGATTTCATGTTGCTGACAAGTCTAGAAATGAACACCACTCTTAAATACTAGTGCGTGACCTCACCCACTAAAGTACTGTCGGAAATAGAAAAAAACTGTTTTTAGGCTGTTACTCTGTATCCCTAAAATTTACACAATTGCAAATAGCATATGTCGAAATAACCCACTTCGGCCTAACTGGACGTTCAGTGGGATGCGTAATACGATATCCAGAAAAGCATGTTTACTCGTAAAATCGGGCAAAACTTAGAAAAAATACGAAGAGCTGCTGAAAACAATAGATCAGACTATAGATGGCAATTAGGTTGCTCAGCCAGGTATGACGACAGACCGTCGACTCACCTGGCATGAAATGCACGTGCTGCCTACAGGCACAAGGGGTCATCTCAAAGATATTTTGTGCTTTTTCATGTGTGTTGACTATGTCTCATCTATTGATTAACATCTTACGTGTCTTTCTTTCATAAAGTCTATGTTGAGATATGTAAAAGAGTATGATACCCGAAAACCATAGAAACGCATCGTAGTATATAGGTGGCATGACCACCCGAAGATCGACAGGACTGGATAGTATTTGAAAAATTGTTATGACATGCCGTGTACCTCCCCAGTATAATTGCCCTAAAGGATTATCTTATCTTAGCTGATATCTCTATCCCCAAGCCCGACCCCAGGTTTTGCTTTTGAGACGACCCCTCCTATCTGTTTCTTTTTATAGTGACAGTGAGACTGCATGGTAGCTACATCCTTAATAGTTTCAGCATAAAAGTTATTATTTTTTACGCCAGCTATCGTTTATAATGAATCTACGTCTAATTTCCAATTTGGCATTTAAAAAGTGTCCTTTGTAATACAATATCGTCACACACTAATTTGCATAAAGCCATGGTCTGTTCCAAATAAGTCTTTTTGGACTTAGAAAACAACCGCATTGCTCATTTCTGCACTAATTTCCCCTCAGTAAAGTGCTTTTTCTCCGTTTCCTATCTCTCTACCACTGAGACTGTAGTTAGGCCGAAATTAGTTTAACAGATATTTCACACTTTCACATATCAACTACATAAATTGTAGAGATAAATGAGAAAATACAGTTTTTTTCTATTTCCGACAGTACTTTAGTCCTGCCCTGTGTGTTATCAGAGTTCAGTGAATGTGTGTGTTGTGTGTAAGTGAACCTGTCCAGTGTTACAGTTTTATATGGTTTTATGACCATATACCCAATAGCACATATGTGAGATTCCATTCACTGATCAGGTTGAAGTATGCAGTCAAGTGGATGGCAGACAAGGTGAACAAACAATAGTCACACTGATACTGGAAACATCTGTAAGGATGCAGTTGTATTTGCTGTATCAATGCATTCATGAAATCATCATCATTTAATCCATAACTACATTTATTACAAATTGGTACCTTATTGTTAGTGATCAGTGAATTAAAGTTCCTGTTCTCTTATCTCTGACAACTGTGTTGTACATTGTACACAATACAAAGTTAATAGCTTATTCATGAAGCCTTGCAAACAGAACGTTGGGAGATCAATACTGGGTAGGCCCCTTAGACGTTGCTGAGAGTGGTTGTAGTACCGCAGTTGGGCCGTGGGCTGCGCTTGCTCATTTCACAACAGGGGCTTGTGATGTTGGAGTGTGTGATGTTGGAGTGTGTGATGTTGGAGTGGGTGATGTATCCGGCAGTGTGGTAGATCTCAGTGATGAAGAAATCTTCCAAGTATCCCTGTCTTGAAAACATGTTTTTAAGTGTTCAATTTTGCTACAGGTTGTCTTGGGAGGTAGTCCCGGCCTTGGCAGTTTGTGGACAGTGTGAACGACTTCAGCCTGTAGTCAGTTGGTTCTGGCAAATTTTCTCAGCATTTTGATGTCTCAAAGGATGTGACAGCACATTGTTTCTCAACTTCTTGCTGTAATGATAAACAGTAGAGCAACGCTTGTGTAGGAGGCATGCTTCACTGATCCCAATCGGTAGAGTGATTCAGCATGAATGAGTACGAAGGCAGGTCACGGGGTTACACGCGGAGTAACCCTACACCTGATGACTGGGATAATGTTGCACCGGATTACGAGGATGAGTCGAGTCCAAGACACTCAGGCGAAGCAGGACCTGTTTGGACTACACCCAGTCACCAGCCACCTGAGACATATACCCATGGTGGACGGAGACAGGCAGGCAGGGAAATAGACAGGTCCGAGTTACATCCGGTGGGGTATAGTTCTTCCATGGATAACAGAGGTGGTGTAAACCCAGGGTACAGATCCTCGGATGGTGACATTCCCTATGGAAGGGACAGATCTGATGTCGAGAGGGGATACTCTCCCGAACGCCAACACAGTCGGCAAGGGTCAGGAGGGTATGACAATCAAGGGTTTCCAGATGGACCAAGAGTTTATTCAGTAGATGATTACGAGGCACAAAGGTACATGGCACAACGTGGTCGATCTCCTGAGGTTACCCGGAATGAAGCCTTCCAGATGTCTGACAATGGAACATCCCCTGGTGGTGTTGCTGATTTCTCCCCACAGCTGGGACGGTATAGTGACGAAGTAGATGGACGGTATGTACAGCATAATGGGAGGCATTACCGTACAGACAATGACAATTATTCAGTGTACAGCTTGGATTTTGGTGACTTTGCAGTGGGAAATAACGTATGGGATAAACTGCATACAATTCGACTCAGGAGAAAGAGTCAGAAGTCAAGAAAATCTGCACGGACCTTGTCACGTCGTCGACATGAAGACGATGAGGATGAGGATGATGAAGAAGAGATGGAAGGATTACTGCCTAGTCTGCAGGCTCGTGTCAAGCAGAAATCCCTTCATGAACGACTCAAGGATAGGGTGCAGTCGACTAACGAAGCAGCGGAAGCGATGAGGTAACTTGTAGGATGTGAAACTGGTGTAAAAGATTGTCAAGATCATACCTCTCATTGCTGTTTGACACCTGGTTAGTTTAGACACAGAAATGTCTCAATAACATTGATTTTTAATATTTGAGAACTTACTTTACTTATAGATGCATCCAAGGTGTCCTGCTATAGATTTCTACTTATTTCACCTAATGTTATATTTGTTGGTGTTCACTGAAACTGGGTGATGGATCAAACGTGAATTACAGTCCATTTTGATTTCAGTTGAGACCAATTGCTCACTAACACAAAATCTAATGAATGCAACAAAACCAAATTTTGCACAGTCACATGAAATCGACAGACCAGTGTCACCAACTCTGACGATTTGTCTCATAAGTTTGGACACCCGAATAAAAAAGTTGTTTAACAGACAATCATTATTTTGTTGTCAAATTTCGCTATTTCTTACAAGGGGGAACCACTTGCTGGTAGAACATCCAGCTGTGCGAGTTGCACGTGTGAAATTGAAATTTCACTGCACACACTACCTGGCTGTTCATCGAGCAAGTGGCCCCCCTCGTACAAAATAGCGAAATGTGACTTTTAAATTCGTGTGTCCAAAATTATGAGAAAAATCATCAGAGTTGGTCTGTTGATTTTCATGTGACTGCAAAATTTGGTTTTGTTGCAATTATTAGATTTTGTGTTAGTGAGCAATTCATCGGTCTCAAATAAAATCAAATGGACTGTAAGCAACATGTCTCTGCCCTGCCTACAGACCTCACAAAGTCATCGACTGAGGCATAAAATTAAAAATGAACATTTGACAACATTGATCTAAGTAGATTTGAGCTATAGTATCTATTTTTCAACTTTTGTAGGTATTTGCCAGACCCTACTGAAAAATTAAAAATGAACATTTGACACATTTCAATTAGTCAGCTGGGACATATTTTTCATTTTATAGGTATTTATTCTTGTGTTGAATTTGTTCGGACAAAAGTTAAAATGTTATGATTTATTATTGACTTAAACTTTAAAAGTCCACAACAAATAAAAAATTTGCAGCCACTCTGTAAGAATTATGTGGCAATGTTTTCAGCCATTCATCTCTGAAATACACAATGCCATTTGATGGAATTGGTTAGGTACAAAAGTTATGCAAGTACGTGTGAATAAATAAATAAGTAAATTGAATGAACAATATGTCGTTCTGATAGTCTATTATATAAACCATGATCAGAAAAGCCAGTTATATTTCAAATCCTAACCCTGAAAAAGAATTGAATGAGGAAAAGTATGAAATCACAAGAGCAGTTTGTTTGTTGACAGACATACATGCGTTCATGTGTAGCACAAACATGTTTTCCTGCAGTAGGGTATGCTCTAATAAATTACATTATGCTAGACAGTGAGACACATTCATAACACAGCTGCATGTCGCCATTCTAGAAGTTGGTGAGTCAAAAATGAAACATACAACCTTATGGAGTTCAACTCATCGTTTTGTGCACAGAGCGACATTTCAATGTAGAATTTTACATCGGTATCAAATAGCTTGATAACAATGTAAGAAATTAGCTTGATAACAGTGCTCTAAAATGCAACAATGTAAGAATGACAGCTGCATATGTCAATAACCCTCTAGGAAAATCAAATAGCTTGATAACAAAACAAAATGAAAAGTCAGATGTTTGATTAGGAGCATTTTAGAAGATACTATTTGATGAACATAGAGATATTTCTGGGATACATGTTCTTTTTATTCTTGAGTAACGTTTCGGGGCTTGTTCTGGTCCCATCATCAGGTAAAACTGAACAGTAACTGTTAGAGAAATATCTCTATGTTCATCAAAATGTGAAATCAACATATAATGAAATAAGAAAGTGGCCACAGCTTTGTTTCAGATGCTGTTTATTATTATTATCTCATTTACTTTAAATCCTACAAAAGTACAAAAAGTTGGAGAATATTTGCTGGGTAAGAGCTATGCTAGTCATAAGACCCTTGCCTGTTGGATTCTCTCAATCAAAAAATGCATTTTAACCTTGTACTGGCTTTCACAAATTTCTTTTGGAATAATCAAACAGCATATATTTGAATAGTGTCATATTTCTGCTTGACCTGACAAAACTGAATGTTATCTGAATATCGGAGGGGAAGGCTTTCTGAAACTAGATACCTGGCAAACACTGATTTCAGCTTCAGTAAACATGTGGTATGTCAACCATAGCAGTAGTATCTCTTACTGATGTAAGTCAGGTTATATTGACATTAACCCTGCTGCTTGTCAATACAGTTCACAGATGTACATATCAGTTGAACTGTGAGTGAGTGAGTTTAGTTTTACGCCGCTTTTAGCAATATTCCAGCAACATCACGGTGGGGGACACCAGAAATGGGCTTCACACATTGTACCCATGTGGGGAATCGAACCTGGGTCTTCGGTGTGACGAAATTGAAACTAGAAGTAAAACATGTATGTAAGTGTTCTGTCTACATAATAAAGGTCTATGTATACTTTGTCTATGTATACTTTGTCTATGAGAAACAACCAGTTCCCTCGGCAGCTTGTTGTTACAACTTCATCAATTACTGTAACGCCCAGTTAATGAACACTGAGCCTAAAGAGGGTCATTAGGTGTATGACACATAGAGCTGGGAGGAAAATAGTGGGTAGAATACACTGCATTGTGTTGTTGTTGAGGCTTGGTGTCAGATATAAACCACTGGTAACTAGGATGGTGTTGGGAACACTTCTTGCATTATTGTTGCAGTTCACTTTAATCAATTATTCAAGAAGGAAGTCTTCAGGAAAGTATTCATTACCAGGGCACAACTAATATTAATATTCCTTTTTGTTAGAAAACAATTAACTAAAATAGTTTCATTGTATATTACTATCTGGGAAAAGTATGTGTATATTTTTATACCACACTGATGCTGAACATACATTTCATTATACATATCTTACATTCTTTGTTACATCTAAATTGTCTTGAATTAACATATAATTTCTGACAATTTTCATAATATGTTAACATTCAAAAAGCACATTTTTATCAATGTGCCACTTGAAACTGAACTTCAGTGATGCATGATACTGGGACAAAGGGCTTATGGGCACACACCTGTAAAAAAGGGTCCTTGTAATTTACATCCTATCCCAATTTAGATGCCACACCTGGGGTACAAGATAAAAGCATGGTGCCAGAACAAAACTGCTGGCTATTATTTCATCATCTGAGGTTGAAAAATAATGAATAATTTTTCTCTGATGATACATCTATGTATCCGAAATGGGATCCCTATCTTTCGACTCTAGAAAAACGTTAGCAAAACCCACTCAAACCCATCCATTCGTCGTGCAAATGACGTTAGTGCCAAATCAGGTTTTGCACGTGCAGTCGATCACGTGATCTTCGCATCGAAGTTTTCTTCATATGCACGTGTTTGCATTGGCCTCAAGAATTGAAAAAACACTTTTAAACCACAGTTCTAACGGTACTTTTTTTGCCACGCATTGTCAAATGTAACGTGAACATGCCGCTGGCATGTTGCAAGCAGGAAGATCAGTTATTGACGTCGCAAGAGCAATGGGATGCAGCCGTCGTACTGTGTATGACTTGCGAGGTCGTCTACAACAAACTGGCACCACTTCTGATGATCGCCCAAGGTCGGTCGTCCATGTGTGACGTCACAAGCAGAAGACCGTCAAATCGTCCTCACGTCACCTACGTGACAGATTTCTGCCGCTACTACGAACCAGGGCTGAGATGCTTAGAGGTCGACTGTCCTTACAGACCATTCAAAATCGATTGCGGGCTGCCAATCTCCATTCTCGACGTCCATATCGTGGGCCAATATTGACGCCGTTTCATCAACGTCAACGTCTGCTGTGGGCCCAACGTCACCTCCAATGGACCCAGAGAGACTGGAATCGAGTCGTCTTTAGCGATGAATCCAGGTTTACCCTCAGATTCGCGGACGGCAGGCATAGAGTCTGGAGACGACGCCGTGAACGGTATGTCCAATGTTGTGTACAGGAAGTCGACAGATTCGGGGGCGGAAGTTGCATGGTGTGGGGTGCTTTCTGTGGGAACAACCATTCCCGACTTCTGGTCATCCGTTGAAACCTCACAGCTGCTGCTTACCGACCAGGTGCTCACCCCTGAACTCGTTCCTTTCATGGCGGCTCATGGTCCAGGCCGCATACCGCGATGTTGACACGAGATTTCCTTCAAAACGCTGGAATCAGCGTCATGGACTGGCCATCGAGGTCCCCTCACCTTAATCCAATAGAGCACGTTTGGGATGCACTTGGGAGAAAGCTTCGTGGTCTTAGGAACCAACCTCAGAATTTGCAGGAACTTGGCGCTGCCTTGCAAGAGCAATGGCGCAGAATCCCCAACCACGTGTTCACAAGCATCAGGCAGTCGATGAGGAGACGGTGTTTGGCAGTGGTGAATGCGCGGGGCGGCCATACACAATATTGAACTGAGAAATTTCGCATTTTTATTCTTGTGACTTGACATTCTGTATACCCATGTTTTGGAACGGCGGTGTAGCCTAATGGAACTGATTATGGCACTGTCAGTGTATCGAGTACATCACACAGATCTCAGCAATGAAATAATAACAATTAAACCATCTTACCATCTCTTGTTCTTTTATAGTGCCCTGAAGAAAGAATGTGAAGTTTCTTTTTTGACTCAGTATATATGTTTATGACATGAAGCGATAATGTCTGATATTAATTCCTCATATTGTAAGCAGTCACTCCAAATATTTCTGAAACACTGTCAGGGTGTGGCCTGTCCTGTTACACCCATTAATGACAAACTTGTAAGAGATTGTCCAGATAAGACCCTCATAAAATGTACTATATGGCCTGTGTTTCTGCCCACCTTGGCAAGGTGTACTGTGGAAAGTTTTGGTCTCTCTGTTCACACAAGGCAAACCAATGGCCATGTACTGCTGGATCAAATCTCTTTCCACTCTGACAGCTTTTTAGACTTTTAACATTCAATATGATATTCTCTGGTTTACCTTGGGCCATGTAAACAGAGAAATATATTGCTCTAAAGATAAACAGAAGGAGGTATGTGAGCAGTGGGCGTTTCATCTGCTGCTTTAGTAGTAAGTTACAGGGAAGTAATAATGTTTATTGTTCCGGTAAACATCAGTCCATTGAGGAGAGCAGTATTTCCTATCATGACAGGCAGATGTAATTTTGTTGGGACTTATTGAGGAAAAATGTGAGCATCAACACAAGGAAATATTGATTCACGAAATACATTCTCTTTACATGGTGAAATTTGATATAAATTTGTTAGTTCATACAATTAACTTTTCCCGGAAGTCACCATCTGAATATTGCAGTATTCTCTCATGATTTAGCGTACTAGACAGATGTATATTGATGTATAATGATTCAGTTATATCACTAATTGCTTTGGGAAATATTGAATTCAGTGATGCTAGTCTAATAAGAAGAATGAATAATAGAACAGCTGATCATTACTCAAGTGTAACAACAATATTTGTGTTGGATTCTCTGGGGGAAAGAATTGGCACCATATTGGTTATATGTTTTTGTTGATGATCCCTGCTGTATATACTGTTTTGACATGTCACACACGTAATTGTCTCCCTTGGTGCACAACTGCCTGTGGCTGTTTTCTTGCAGAAACATTTGTATTAAAAATGAGTGCATTTTGTCATGTCCAGCTGATTGATTTGATTGAAGGTAATGTCAATCCCATATTGTACCGTCAAGGGTTGCCCAGTTGTCCATGGGGCAGCCATTCATTGTGTGGAGTTGTACCCCTTGAATCCAGTGATTCCTGTAGGTTTGAATCCCAGGTTTGGTCTGACTATGATTCTTGAATTGTAGGCGTCTTCAAACCCAAGCTGCCACACAATGAGATTTAGATGGGAATGTTCATGCAGGACTTGGTTATTCACAGTACAATTTCAACATTTCAGAGACACTGCTACCCTACAAGCTGGGGGAGTCTTGTCGGTCAAACAAAGTATTAAACAGGTAAGTAGTAAATAAAAGTTGACGTTGAAGGAATACAAAAAAGAAAGGCAGAAGCAGAACAATTATTAAGAGGTGTGACGATACAGAAAAAGTATCAATATATTTATTGTCAGAAAAAGTATCACGATTATCGATTCTACGATATATCGTCACAGCTCTTCAATTATTTATATATTGAGCTTTTAAAGCTTTTAGATGATTATTTTCTAACACGGGGTAATCGCCAATAAACCCAACATTTTCTGTCCATCACAAGGAGTGGAAATAATTCAGAAGTCCACATTTATTTGGTGTCCAGTGTGTTGTAATATGCATCTGTTGTAAGTAAACAATGCTGAACTGGCCTCGGGAGGAGATCTAGCTGGACTGAGATGTTCTAGGATAGGAAATATAATGAAAGACCATCACAATACTTTGTCTACTACTGAAGCTGGTTGGTGTAAATGTTTACTCTCAACACGACTGGTTATTACTGTTTACAAAGATTGTTTAGCTTGAATCTCACCTTCTCACCAAAGCAAGCTTCACATGAAAAGAAACAAGGGTGAGATTCTCTTTGTGATAATGAACTCATAGTTTATAAACTTGATAAAACATAAGTTAATACATTAGTGAAGGATAGACTCAGTACCAGAATGAGGTCTGGACCCCTAGTCTACTGTACATAAGCATCTGATAATGCATCTATAGAGTGTACTTATATTTCAGCTTTATACCCAACATTATTGATATGGCCCAGTTTTGTAATGGCCACAACATCCGGTGTCAATGGGTCATCAGTGTTCCAAGTCCACCTGTGGCCACGCTGGTGATTTAAAGCAGCTGTTGATCATGCCGATGTATATTTCAGAGCTGGCAGAAGAAGAGGTCCCAACTGAAGGGCTGGTTGTACCAGCTGGAGCTATGGGCAAGCACCTTCAAGGAGATCGAGGGTGTGTACACCAATATTCATAGCTAATGGTCGTTTGATGAGGTCATGCTGGCTTGTAGCCAGGTTGAAATGTACAGGTGAAATGTATGTCTCCTTGAAATAATGCCAGCTCAGTATTGATCCACATTACAGTTAGTACTGAAATCGGACATTGTCATAAAAAAGGCATCACCTTTTTTTGTGAAACAGATGGCCCTGTGACATTTTGTCACAAATATTGTATAAATATTTCTGATAATCTGACTGCCCCTTCATCACACGGGTGGCTAATGTTGGGAACAAGAGACTGTGTTTTCAAGTGGGTGACTGGACATAACACTGTTAAGCCCACTGTAATGTGTGTGTCAGCTGATTGTATGTCATTAAGCCAGAGCATGCAATGACCAGTGTTATTTGCTTTGTGCTGTTTTTCAGGCTACTTGTCACAGGGCATAATATTAATGTGCCATTACAATATTCTCCATGCCATCTGTACAAGGAATTTCCAACCCTGAATTGAAATGTTCTGATGGAAGATATGTTTACATATATATTGATACAGATGACAAATACAATGCTGTTTGTTTTTTTGGGTTTTTTTTGCATTTAATTCAAATTGTTATATTGTTATTTGACCCCCCTGAATTACAGATTTTCACAAAATGTATGTGCAAGGATATTTTTACAGTTGTTAATGAAACATGATTGTTAGAGAAAGGTTTGCATGGGAGGTCCAAGATATGGAGGTTGACATGGGAGGTTCAAGATATGGAGGTTGAAATGGGAGGTTCAAGACATGGAGGTTGACATGGGAGGTTCAAGACATGGAGGTTGACATGGGAGGTTCAAGATATGGAGGTTGACATGGGAGGTTCAAGATATGGAGGTTGACATGGGATGTTCAAAATATGGAGGTTGACTTGGGATGTTCAAGATATGGAGGTTGACATGGGAGGTTCACGATATGGAGGTTTAAATGGGAGGTTCAAGACATGGAGGTTGACATGGGAGGTTCAAGACATGGAGGTTGACATGGGAGGTTCAAGATATGGAGGTTGACATGGGAGGTTCAAGATATGGAGGTTGACATGGGATGTTCAAAATATGGAGGTTGACTTGGGATGTTCAAGATATGGAGGTTGACATGGGAGGTTCAAGATATGGAGGTTGACATGGGATGTTCAAAATATGGAGGTTGACATGGGATGTTCAAGATATGGAGGTTGACATGGGATGTTCAAAATATGGAGGTTGACTTGGGATGTTCAAAATATGGAGGTTGACATGGGATGTTCAAAATATGGAGGTTGACATGGGAGCTCCAAGATATGGAGGTTGACATGGGAGCTCCAAGATATGGAGGTTGACATGGGATGTTCAAAATATGGAGGTTGACATGGGATGTTCAAGATATGGAGGTTTACATGGGAGCTTCAAGATATGGAGGTTGACATAGCCGGTTCAAGATATGGAGGTTGACATAGGTGGTTCAAGATATGGAGGTTGACATAGGTGGTTCAAGATATGGAGGTTGACATAGGTGGTTCAAGATATGGAGGTTTACATGGGAGCTTCAAGATATGGAGGTTGACATAGCCGGTTCAAGATATGGAGGTTGACATGGGATGTTCAAAATATGGAGGTTGAATTTGGAGGTTCCAAATATGGAGGTTGACATGGGATGTTCAAGATATGGAGGTTTACATGGGATGTTCAAAATATGGAGGTTGACATGGGAGGTTCAAGATATGGAGGTTTACATGGGATGTTCAAAATATGGAGGTTGACATGGGAGGTTCAAGATATGGAGGTTGACATGGGATGTTCAAGATATGGAGGTTGACATGGGAGGTTCAAGATATGGAGGTTGACATGGGAGGTTCAAGATATGGAGGTTGACATGGAAGGTTCAAGATATGGAGGTTGACATGGGAGGTTCAAGATATGGAGGTTGACATGGGAGGTTCAAGATATGGAGGTTGACATGGGAGGTTCAAGATATGGAGGTTGACATGGGAGGTTCAAGATATGGAGGTTGACATGGGAGGTTCAAGATATGGAGGACATGGGGTTGACATGGAGGGAGGTTCAAGATATGGAGGTTGACATGGGAGGTTCAAGATATGGAGGTTGACATGGGAGGTTCAAAATATGGAGGTTGACATGGGATGTTCAAAATATGGAGGTTGACATGGGAGGTTCAAGATATGGAGGTTGACATGGGATGTTCAAAATATGGAGGTTGAATTTGGAGGTTCCAAATATGGAGGTTTACATGGGAGGTTCAAGATATGGAGGTTTACATGGGATGTTCAAAATATGGAGGTTGAATTTGGAGGTTCCAAATATGGAGGTTTACATGGGATGTTCAAGATATGGAGGTTTACATGGGATGTTCAAAATATGGAGGTTGACATGGGATGTTCAAGATATGGAGGTTTACATGGGATGTTCAAAATATGGAGGTTGACATGGGAGGTTCAAGATATGGAGGTTTACATGGGATGTTCAAGATATGGAGGTTGACATGGGATGTTCAAGATATGGAGGTTGACATGGGAGGTTCAAAATATGGAGGTTTACATAGGAGGTTCAGGATAGTGAGGCTTGTGTTGGAGTTTCAGTACAGTTGGTGTCAAGATAGTGAGGGTTACATGGGTATTTCTCAAAAGCAAGGTTTCCATGTGGCTGGCATGGTGGTATAAGGCTGATTGAAACCACTCACCCACTCACTCCAACAAGTTAACATGCTATGATAAAACTGAAGAATTTAGAGTCAGGCATTAATGCCCATCTTCACACTTCCTGAAATACACATTTACTTAAAACCCTCAATGACTGGTCTGTTCACTGATGTTGATGCCACTCCATCTCAGTGATGCAATAAAACTCTCTCTCCCTCATCCCACAGGTCGGTTTGGCACAGCGACTGTGTCGTATTTCCGCTTCACACGATGGCTCATGTTCCTCAACCTGTACATCTTCTTGCTGATGTTCTGTGTCATCGTCATCCCATACTTCGCCCTCCCTACCCCGGACTCCTTCCACAGTATGACCACGGTCAACCATACGGACACCTTCTTCCAGGAGGCTGACCGATGTACTACTCTGTACACGGTCCACATCTACAATCTGACTGCCTCAGAGTCTGTTGGGGACATGGTGCTGGACTTCATTCAGGGCACTGTAAGTGGCAGGCTTTAGGGAGCTACCATACATTGTTCAAGAAAAAGGGCAGGAATAGTGCCATTTTCTCTAATAAGTAATCATTCTGTTTGGGTGGTAAAATTACCTTACGATTGTCTGTCAAATAGCATTTGTCTTATGAATTGTTACAAAAGCTGTCTAGTGAGTGAAAACTATTCTTTTGAAACAAGTTATAAGATACATGATATCCAACAGGAGTGCAGTAATCTGTTTTTTACACACAGTCAAGTGACATCATTTTAGCATTGACTTACTGCATGTCTTTACTAGTTCTCATGATCACAGTGCGGCATTGATACACAGACAGCAGCCAAGTGTGGCAATATCTGTGTGGCAATGAAGAAAGATATGAGCAAGGAATATTTATTTTAAATAAAGAAAAGGTTTTGACTTAGATGAAGGTCAATTTGACTGAAATTTGTCAGGGAAATATGATCAGGATATTTGTCTGTCAGAATTTGACCATTATCACAACCTGGAAGTTGATCTCATGTTTGACAGCAGTTGTCTCTAGTGTGCCTCTCACCAACAGGTACATGTAATTACCTAAAGACTGGTGTGTTGATGGTTGTCATCCTGTTGTAGGGATGGATGGAGAGGACGGAGCTGTTCTACGGCGTGTACTACAACCGCACATACCCCCTCCCTAACAACAAGACTGGCACCTACAACATGAACCTGGCGTACCTGCTCGCCACTGGCATCTGCTTCCTCCTCAGCTTCATCCTCATTGTTAAAAAGTAGGTCACTGCAACATCAACTGCATTGTCAAAGCAACATCGCAGCAGCAAACACTGCTTCTTCTGGGATGAGTACTTCAGATGTGCTCAGATACATTAGCACTGACAAAACTATTGTTAACACAGCTCTGTGTTAAACACAAAGCATGTGTCTGTCCTCTGTTGTGTTAATGTTTATGTAATTAATATGAAGATTACCATTTGTCTTACAAACAGTTTCAGTCTCATCGTTGTCTGGTTCTTACATCAATATCTGGATCATCTATATTTCAGTATAATCCATAATAAGCTTTCTATGAGCTCTATGTGTTGTTTGTGTCTTGTCCTTTGTGTCCTATGTGTCTGTCCTATGTTACCTGTTTCCTATGTGCTCCATGTGCCTTGTGTTCACTATGTTTCCTAATTGTGCCCTTTCTCCAGTGTTCCTTATGTGTCCTCTGTGTCTTGTCCCATGTGTCCGCTGTCCCTTGTTCTCTGTGTGCTCTGTGTCCCCTGTGTTCTATGTGTCCGCTGTCTCATGTTCTCTGTGTGCTCTGTGTCCCCTGTGTCCTATGTGTCCGCTGTCCCTTGTTCTCTGTGTGCTCTGTGTCCCCTGTGTTCTATGTGTCCGCTGTCCCTTGTTCTCTGTGTGCTCTGTGTCCCCTGTGTCCTATGTGTCCGCTGTCCCATGTTCTCTGTGTGCTCTGTGTCGCCTGTGTTCTATGTGTCCACTGTCCCATGTTCTCTGTGTGCTCTGTGTCCCCTGTGTTCTATGTGTCCGCTGTCCCTTGTTCTCTGTGTGCTCTGTGTCCCCTGTGTTCTATGTGTCCACTGTCTCATGTTCTCTGTGTGCTCTGTGTCCCCTGTGTTCTATGTGTCCACTGTCTCATGTTCTCTGTGTGCTCTGTGTCCCCTGTGTTCTATGTGTCCGCTGTCCCATGTTCTCTGTGTGCTCTGTGTCCCCTGTGTTCTATGTGTCCACTGTCTCATGTTCTCTGTGTGCTCTGTGTCCCCTGTGTTCTATGTGTCCGCTGTCCCATGTTCTCTGTGTGCTCTGTGTCCCCTGTGTCCCATGTGTCCGCTGTCCCATGTTCTCTGTGTGCTCTGTGTCCCCTGTGTTCTATGTGTCCGCTGTCCCTTGTTCTCTGTGTGCTCTGTGTCCCCTGTGTTCTATGTGTCCGCTGTCCCATGTTCTCTGTGTGCTCTGTGTCCCCTGTGTTCTATGTGTCCGCTGTCTCATGTTCTCTGTGTGCTCTGTGTCCCCTGTGTTCTATGTGTCCGCTGTCCCATGTTCTCTGTGCTCTGTGTCCCCTGTGTTCTATGTGTCCGCTGTCCCATGTTCTCTGTGTGCTCTGTGTCCCCTGTGTTCTATGTGTCCGCTGTCCCATGTTCTCTGTGTGCTCTCTGTCCCCTGTGTCCCATGTGTCCGCTGTCCCATGTTCTCTGGGTGCTCTGTGTCCCCTGTGTTCTATGTGTCCGCTGTCCCATGTTCTCTGGGTGCTCTGTGTCCCCTGTGTCCCATGTGTCCGCTGTCCCATGTTCTCTGTGTCCCATGTGTCCGCTGTCCCATGTTCTCTGTGTGCTCTGTGTCCCCTGTGTTCTATGTGTCAGCGCTATCTGACTGAGTGATGTTCTGTGCAGCTCCGGCAAGAGTGTGAAGGAAGCTGTGGTTGACCAGGAGAACTCCAAGTCTCTGTACTGCAACAAGGTGTTCTGTGCTTGGGACTTCTGTATCTCCAATGAGAAGACTGCAGCTTCCAAGATGGCCAGTTTCAAACTAGAGCTGCAGGTACCAGTTTCCATATTGAAGGCTTTCACGGTAGACCTGATAAACACGTTGTGTCTGTAGAACAGTTCAAATCAGCAGATGGACGTTTAGAGTTAATACAGGGGTTGGTTGTGTCCAAATATTTAACAACCACTGAAACTATGTTATTTTGTACATTGATGCAACCTTAGCCTCTAGAGGCCTGTCTTTTTCTGCTGGAAAATCCTGATAAATGGGGAGAGACCAGTGCCAAAACCTCCCTGCAGACTCACTTGGTACTTTAGTGTCCTCACAGGACTGACCTCAGCTAAATTGCTGGCATCCATATGAATAAAAATCTAATCTATTAACAAAACTGTATTTATCCCCAGTTGATAAATAGTTACTGGAACGGTGTGGATGACAATGTTGACATTTGTGGAAATACAGGGACATAGCTTTCACAATTCTGTTTGATCTTAATGGTAACTTTATGAAGGCAAAAGGTTTGACATTTATCTTTCAGTCATTACGCTGTATAAATGTATTGGAGGTTATGAGATAAACATAGTCCCGTACATTGTATATGTAAGTACATACAGCAGATGATGATTTATGTCACGTCAGAACCATATATTTAAAGGGGCACTGATCCAGAACAATTTTCCTGGACAAAAGTTATATGCATAATATCAGGGAGTTACCTTGTTCCAGGAATGTATCCATCAATGTCCACATAAAGAAACAACATTCCGTACATCTGCAGCTGACAAGGATATGTGTCACGTGTCTTTTAACAATCTAATGTAGAATACACAAAGAACTTAATTAAGCACCCCCTGTATAATATGGCTGAAATATTGCCGATGTGACTCTAAATCTTAACTCACTCACTCACTCACTCACTCACTCTCACTCACTCACTCACTCACTAGGTTGCTTGTGGATAATTTAGAGGTTAAAATGAGGTGAATTGTTTCAGGATGACCTGAAAGAGGCACGCCGGAGGTTGCGGCAGGCGGAGAGATCCACAGGAGAGAAGTGTCGCCTCATCTTCATCCGAATCTTCATCAACCTGTTTGTCATCGGTATTCTGGGCGCCTCCCTCTACCTCATCTACTACACCACAGAGACTCTACTGGAGGTACGCAGCTGGTCGTAATCAGGCATCTTACCGATAGCGTCTTCATTCTTGAATATAGTTGGCAAGCCTTGCAGTTTAATACTTTGTTGATATGTTTAGGTTTTTATATCAAAAGAGACTTTGGTGATGCTGTATCACAAAATATCGTATTGTATAATTTGTAGCATCAATATTTAAGAAATGGATTTTATGTTGTTGTGGTGGTTGACTGGAGTATGACTACTTTGAACTGTGAACGTGAAATTGCATAAATGCTGGAAAGGAGAAATTTTGGTTTAGTGTCTGATCTGATTTTGTATCACTACCTGTGTTTAGACACAATTTTAGGGCATCCTAAAAAACTAATTCTCTCATTTCATGACCAGCTAATTTAAATACATTGAAGTTAGTTTATTATTCTCTACTGCTGTCTGACTAAGGGGAGATTAATCAAAGACTAACCAACCCATTTCTGTCCCATATAGATTTAGAATCTTTTGCATATTATGCATATTAATCTCTTAATTTAGAAGGACTGCCTCCGTGGTGTAGTGGTTAGAGCTTGCGCCCGAAGAGCGGAAGGTCACGGGTTCGATCCCCAACCGCGTCATACCAAAAGACGTTAAAATATGGTACTTGTTGGTCCCTGCCTGGCACTCGGCATTAATGGGTACAACAAAGACTGGACGGCTCGGAGTCAGTGTAATGTGTCTGAGTGGGGTATCCATGCTGCGGCATGGTATCTCAGTGGGCTAGCACTATAAAGTCAGCTTCAGTCTGGGCTAGTACAAGCAGCCGAACATACACATACACACGCATGCACGTCGTCATATGAGCAAAATATTCTCAAGCACGACGTTAAACCCAATTTCACCTCACCTCACCTTAATTTAGAACACCTTTGTCTCCGAGTGAAGTAGCCTGAATGATAGACATGATATACTGTGATGACACATTACCTTCCTCTTGTAGCTGGACAAGACAGGGCAGGCAGAGATAGTGGTGCTCGTCTACCAGAACATGATATACTGTGATGACACATTACCTTCCTCTTGTAGCTGGACAAGATGGGGCAGGTGGAGATAGTGGTGCTCATCTACCAGAACATGATATACTGTGATGACACATTACCTTCCTCTTGTAGCTGGACAAGACAGGGCAGACCGAGATAGTGGTGCTCATCTACCAGAACATGATATATTGTGATGACACATTACCTTCCTCTTGTAGCTGGACAAGATGGGGCAGGTGGAGATAGTGGTGCTCATCTACCAGAACATGATATACTGTGATGTGATGCGACAAGAAAGGGCAGACCGAGATAGTGGTGCTCATCTACCAGAACATGATATACTGTGATGACACATTACCTTCTTCTTGTAGTGCGACAAGACAGGGCAGACCGAGATAGTGGTGCTCATCTACCAGAACATGATATACTGTGATGACACATTACCTTCCTCTTGTAGCTGGACAAGACAGGGCAGACCGAGATAGTGGTGCTCATCTACCAGAACATGATATACTGTGATGACACATTACCTTCCTCTTGTAGCTGGACAAGACAGGGCAGACCGAGATAGTGGTGCTCATCTACCAGAACATGATATATTGTGATGACACATTACCTTCCTCTTGTAGCTGGACAAGACAGGGCAGACCGAGATAGTGGTGCTCATCTACCAGAACATGATATATTGTGATGACACATTACCTTCTTCTTGTAGCTGGACAAGACAGGGCAGACCGAGATAGTGGTGCTCATCTACCAGTACCTCCCCTCACTTGCCATCACTGTCCTCAACTTCCTGGTCCCCCTCATGTTCACCAAGGTTGTCATTGTTGAGGACTACAGTGGCTCCTTTGAACTGAAAATCACCCTCTTCAGGTATGGGCCTATGAGAAGAAAATATCTGACCATTGAAGGCCAAATGACTTGCTGTGTATCACATAGCAACAATGACATAGTGTCATGTTATCAAAAGCAACTGATTTAATTACTGCATGCATCAAATCAAACAAGCTTTCAGGTTTTATTTATGTGCAAATTAAAAGTTAAATCTGCAATTTTGCTAGTTTTGTTTAGTTTTGGCCAGGCTCATTCAACAAAGAAATATCTTAACAGAGCGATCCCCATGTATTAGTTAGAGCTGGGATAACCTCAGTGATTATAGCACATTTATAATCCTATATGAAAGTAGGGGAGTTGTGAAGCGCTGACTCAGTGCAGTGTTGACTTGAATGAATGAGGGTACCAGTCTGTTGTGTTGTTTATTCCAGGACAGTGTTGCTTCGTCTTGCTTCCTTGGGGGTGTTGATTCTGTCCCTGTACATCCAGCTGCTGGGTGGGGATGATGACAGTATGGACTCCACCTGTGGGAACAAGCGCTGGTCAGCGTCGAATGGCTCCGACTTCAGTCCCAGTATCAAGGTACATTGAGACACAGTCTGAAAGTCCAGAACTCTCTCTCAATATCCATCTTATGTGCAGCAAACAGACTTTAGATTGTCTTAAAGCAGAATCTATTAGCTAAATCTAAAGTCTAATTGAATAAATATGTAGATATGCTTGTCATGAGTTACTTCCACTTTCGTGTTGTGTCCATGTTCATTTTAGAGTTCAAGAAATCTTCTAAACGTGTCATAAAAGCAAATCAAACAAGGCGTAGTGAACCAATCTTTCACTTGAAACAGGGATCCAAATGTACTTTTGAATGTTAGTCAGATTTATCCTCAGCTTTTCATTTCATTCTCCTTTACGCATGAAGATCCTTTTTGGTATTGATCTTCAGTAACCCATGCTTGTCGTAAGAGGCGACTAACGAGATAGGGTGGTCAGGCTTGCTGGCTTGGTTGACACATGTTATCGTATGCCCATGCTGTTGATCACTGGATTGTCTGGTCCAGACTCGATTATTTACAGATCGACGACATATAGCTGGAATATTGCTGAGTGCAGCGTAAAAGTAAACTCACTCACTCACTTCATTCTCAATTGTTACTTACAAAATAAAATCAGTGAAAAGTCTACATGTGGACACCATTAAACTTCTGCAAACCAATTACATCATGAGTACAAAATGACCTGTTTTCTGTGAATATGGTACACACCTTACTTGCAAATTTCACTGATAGATGAATGCATATCTTAGCTTGGCCGGAGAGCTATACTTTGAGATGCCATTATCTCACCATAGGCCCCAATATAAAAATAGTGCACAACTGTTTTCTGTTTTCAGTGTTGGGAGACTTATGTTGGACAACAATTCTACAAGCTGGCATTACTTGACTTTGTCACTGTTGTACTTCTCACATTCCTTGTGGAATTCCCCAGAAAGTGAGTACATACAGCTGAACAGCTAAGTGTACAAGGCTACATAGGCCCTATATGAGCTAGTGGTACTCTCCCCAAGGAGATGTGAATGAAGTGGCCACTGATTTTGTAGGTAGCAAAGGTCCAGACTTGATCATTTTCAAGCATTTTCTTGATATACGTTTGTCCACTGCTGCTACAAGACACAACATGCATTTACTCACTTCTACTGGAGAAAAAGGATTGTGAACTTGCATGTTTTGATTGTTTCAGATTAGTTTTCCGGAAACTCTTCAGGTTTAAACTGATACAGCTGATTGGAGAGCAGGAGTTTGACCTCCCCAAGAATGTTCTGGACATTGTGTATTCACAGACATTGTGCTGGTCAGTTGGTCAACCATTCACTAGTAGGAGCTGTCGCAGCTCAAACAACTACACTTTAATAACCTGGACAATCAGTGCTTGTGTCCACTTGTGGATTCTATGTTAGACCTATGTTGGTCTTTGGACAATTATATGTAGTCTGATTCGGTTGATTGTGTGTCTGACTTCCATGATTGTGTGTCTGACTCGGTTGATTGTGTGTCGGTTGATTGTGTGTCTGACTTGGTTGATTGTGTGTCTGATGTGGTTGATTGTGTGTCTGACTTGGTTGATTGTGTGTCTGATGTGGTTGATTGTGTGTCTGACTCGGTTGATTGTGTGTCTGATGTGGTTGATTGTGTATGTCTGACTCGGTTGATTGTGTGTCTGATGTGGTTGATTGTGTGTCTGACTCGGTTGATTGTGTGTCTGACTCGGTTGATTGTGTGTGTGGTTGATTGTGTGTGTGACTCGGTTGATTGTGTGTCCTGACTCAGTTGATTGTGTGTGTCTGACTCGGTTGATTGTGTGTCTGACCCGGTTGATTGTGTGTCTTGACTTGATTGATTGTGTGTCTGACATGGTTGATTGTGTGTCTTGACTTGGTTGATTGTGTGTGACTCGGTTGATTGTGTGTGTCTGACTCGGTTGATTGTGTGTCTGACATGGTTGATTGTGTGTCTGACATGGTTGATTGTGTGTGTCTGACTCGGTTGATTGTGTGTGTCTGACTTGGTTGATTGTGTGTCTGACTCGGTTGATGGTGTGTCTGACTCGGTTGATTGTGTGTCTGACTCGGTTGATTGTGTGTCTGCCTCGGTTGATTGTGTGTGTCTGACTCGGTTGATTGTGTGTTTGACTCGGTTGATTGTGTGTCTTGACTTGGTTGATTGTGTGTGTCTGACTCGGTTGATGATGTGTGTCTGACTTCGGTTGATTGTGTATGTCTGACTTGGTTGATTGTGTGTGTCTGACCTCGGTTGATGTCTTCGGTTGATGGTAAATCTGTCTCGGTTGATTGTGTGTGTCTGACTCGGTTGATGGTGTGTCTGACTCGGTTGATTGTGTCTTGACTCGGTTGATTGTGTGTCTGCCTCGGTTGATTGTGTGTGTCTGACTCGGTTGATGGTGTGTCTGACTCGGTTGATTGTGTGTCTGACTTGGTTAATTGTGTCGTACCTTGACAGCTCATATCATCAGTCACTGGATTGCCTGGTCCAGACACAAGTAACTACAGGCCTCTGTCATATGGCTTTATCTTTCTAATTATGGTATGAAACAAACAACAGGAAACACAGTAAGCTAGACACCAGTTAGAGAGTTAGCTGGGAGACCATGAGTCTGCGTGTACACTGCTGCCAACACTGGTGTGACCAATGTGTCTCTCTCTCTCACAGGTTGGGCATGTTCTTCTCCCCATTGATTCCTGCCATGACACTGATGAAAGTCCTTGTTATTTTCTATGTGAAAAGGGTAAGTTATCATCAAGTTGACATATCATATATCTCTTGTAAACACTGTGACCAACCAGCAATTATCAGGAGCTGATTGTTGAGATTTAGAGATGGAAGAGTGCGTGGCTCATACACTACTCAGCCAGTAGGATGAATATTTCCATAAACTGGTCACGACATGATCTGTATCCCAATCATGATTACAAATTGATGTTCTTCTTGAAATTTTGGGTTAGAATTTGTTCACAGCAATCTGTGAAGTACAAGGTGATGTAATTAATCTGCCAGTCAGGCTTTGTGATTGGGTTGATTGCATGTCACATCACATCAGGGACTGGTTTGTCTTTGGTTGCTTGGGGCGGTGGTGTAGCCTCGTGGTTAAGGCATTCGCTGGTCACGCCGAAGACCTAGGTTCAATTCCCCACATGGGTACAATGTGTGAAGCCCATTTCTAGTGTCTCCTGATGTGATATTGCTGGAATGTTGCTAAAAGTGATGTACAACCAAACTCACTCACTTTGGCTGCTTACAGGTAATCACATAGCTGGTATATTGCTGAATGGGGCATTCTAGTGCTGTCAGTGATATTTGACCTGCTCCTGTTTAATGATTTCAGCTGACAGTATTGCACAACTGTATTGATATTTGACCTGCTCCTGTTTAATGATTTCAGCTGACAGTATTGCACAACTGTATTCCGCCGCTGCGGCCGTATCGAGCATCGAGATCTAACTCCTTCTTTATGACAGTATTACTGTTCTCCTTCGTGCTCTCCGTCATCCCTCTGGGCTACCTCATCGGCACGTAAGTTGTGACATCCGGTAGATGTGTGTGTGTGTGTCCAAGTTTAGTCTGTCTCACAGGCCCTCATTTAGTTTCTGTTCTCTCCAGTAAATTGTGCTATGTAGAAGCCCTACATGAAGCAAGTCCACATCTTCCTCATGGTCTGAATCTCCCATCTCACTGGGGTTCCCGTCCAATTTAACAAGTTTTAGTATAGTGCAGGCAAGTAATTCCACAGTCCGTGATAGCTGGCATTCTGATATTTCACACTTGAATTTTCGTTGACAGTTGGTGATAGACTATCAAGTCATCACTGTATCCTTGTTGCAAGAAGAAGTTTGGGATATGATCAGATTATTGGTGTAAGATGTGAGGATGGGGCATTCAAATCATGAGTAATGATAATTGTTTGAAAAGTTCTATAGCAATATAACTCTGACTAACATCTTACAGGAAGTGTTTTCTTGTTGTCAGTGTGAATCCGTCTCAGAGTTGAGGCCCCTTCCGCCTGTACAGCCACGACGATCACGTCATCTTCGACACCATCACCAATACTGTGAGGACATGGCCGTCTGTGGCCAGAGATATAGTGTCCTACCTTGGCACTGTGGGCTTCTTTGTGCCTGCCATCTTACTGCTGTGGTAAGGATATCGATCATTAAACGGGGCAGGCAGAATTCTGCTGGATCGTGTTCACAGGGCCAGGATAAGCCTTTGATACTGTACTATCAGGGACAAGGATTAGCTTTGAGGACATTCCTTGATATTCTGTTTCTGATATTCTAAAGTTGATTCAAGATGATCATTTGAAGCAACTGAGTATAAACTTGTAGGAAATTATTTTCTGTTGAATATTTGATATGGTTTAACTGCATTGGATCAAATTTGTTGGTTATTTTTAATCTAGTCAGATATTTAAAAAATGATTCTAGTGAAATTGCCATCACTAAACATTCTATGATCGAAATTTTCACAAAATTTGAATGACATTGATTAGCTCGGATTTGTTTAGCACCCCGTCATTATCTGGCACCCCAGTTTGATATGTGATGCTGAGTTAATGTGTGTCTCCGTGTAAATGTGTGACCTGTGTGAATGTGTCTCCATGTAAATGTGTGACCCTGTGTTAGTGTCCCCATGTAAATGTGTGATGCTGTTAATGTGTGTCCTTGTAAATGTGTGACCCTGTGTTGATGTGTCTTTGTGTAAATGTGTGATGCTGTTAATGTGTGTCCTTGTAAATGTGTGACCTGTGTTAATGTGTGTCTCTGTGTAAATGTGTGACCTGTGTTAATGTGTGTCCATGTAAATGTGTGACCTGTGTTAATGTGTCTCCATGTAAATGTGTGACCTGTGTTAATGTGTGTCTCCATGTAAATGTGTGACCTGTGTTAATGTGTCTCCATGGAAATGTGTGACCCTGTGTTAGTGTGTGACCCGTGTAAATGTGTGACCTGTGTTAATGTGTCTGTATAAATGTGTGATGCTGTGTTAATGTGTGTCCTTGTAAATGTGTGACCTGTGTTAATGTGTCTCCATGGAAATGTGTGACCTGTGTTAATGTGTGTCCTTGTAAATGTGTGACCTGTGTTAATGTACCTGTGTAAATGTGTGACCTGTGTTAATGTATCTGTGTTAATGTGTGACCTGTGTTAATGTGTCTCCATATAAATGTGTGACGCTGTGTTAATGTGTGTCCTTGTAAATGTGTGACCCTGTGTTAGTGTCTCCTTGTAAATGTGTGACCTGTGTTAATGTGTCTCCTTGTAAATGTGTGACATGTGTTAATGTGTCTCTGTGTAAATGTGTGACCTGTGTTAATGTGTGTCCATGTAAATGTGTGACCCTGTGTTGATGTGTGTCTCCATGTAAATGTGTGGCCCTGTGTTTATCTGTGTCTCCTTGTAAATGTGTTACCCTCTGTTAATGTGTCTCCGTGTACATGTGTGACCTGTGTTAATGTGTCTCCTTGTAAATGTGTGACCTGTGTTAATGTGTCTCTGTGTGTGTGACCTGTGTTAATGTGCGTGTCTCAATGTTAATGTGTCTCTGTGTAAATGTGTGACCTGTGCTGTGTGTTTCAGTAAATGTCTGACCTGTGTATTACTACTGTGTCTCCTTGTAAATGTGTCTGTTGTTAATGTGCTCCAAGTGTAAGATGGAACAGTGTGGAACAAGTCTCCTGATGGTAGTACTACTTGATATCCTGTCTCAGGGCTACAAGAAGATGGAACAGCTGCTCAAGGAACAACTCAAGATGGTCAGTAAAACCTTGATATCCTGTCCAAGTGATTCGTAGTTGGATGTATTTGCTGTTTAGTGTTCCACAACACCCTGTAGTGTTCCATAGTGATCTGTAGTGTTCCACAACACCCTGTAGTGTTCCATAGTGATCTGTAGTGTTCCACAACACCCTGTAGTGTTCCATAGTGATCTGTAGTGTTCCACAACACCCTGTAGTGTTCCATAGTGATCTGTAGTGTTCTAAAGCACTCTGTTGTATTCCATTGTGTTCTGTACCCAAGTACCAGAGCCTTACCACCCAAGTACAGGTAGCTGGGTACCTGTTGTAATCTGGTGTCCACACATACATGCTCCCTGATGGTGTTTCTCAGTGCTCTGGTGTGTCTCTTGGACTATTCCTGGCCAGAACAGATCCATGTGTTCGGCTGAGCCAACAGGACCAGATGGTCCAGATTATTGACCACTGTCGGGCGTGGTTCAGATCCAGCAATAAGGTTGGCCCAGTGGTCTAAGTGTCCACAACTCCCATCAAAGTGTGGTTTTGAATCCTTGTTTCATCCTGATTTTGGTATAAATATATCATTGTCATAGTCTAATCAGATCAAAGATGTAACCGATTTAGCAAGACCATTCATGTTATGTATATTAAACAGTCACCTATTAAGTAAATATGTCTCTTGATTTTAGGAGGGTCGTGATCGTCAATTCCTGCTGACTCGTGTGAATGAGGTTATACAGAGGGGGGAACTTGGAACAGCAGTAACTGGATAACAGACCTTGTGCTCATACCTTTACCGCCTTTGTTCATCAGCTGTCTCTACACGTGCCTTGGTTTTAACAGCTGTTAGCAGAAATGTACATCTATTACCTGGACCTGGATCCGTCACAAGTGCATTTCTTAAACGTATAACATTCCATGAAAGAAAGTGTTTTATATGTCAGAATGCAGCTACACATTTTATTTTACAGAATGCAAAGGAATGATCCGTTGTATTCATCATTGTTTTGTAAAATGCCCCACAAAACAATTTCACATCAAAATTCAATACCCATGTGCTTCTCATCTACACAATGAGGCATGTACCTCCTACATCTTGATGACTGTAGAAATGGGATATGTATACAGTGATATTGGCAACATTCAACTCAGCCCTCATAGGTGGTCAAGCAAACATTTCTTGATGAACTAAGAATGCTTTGACTGGTCTGGGAATACAAAGATGTCTTCCAAAGGTTGTATATTTATATAATATATGTATAATATGGATTTGTACAGTACATGTTGCCACACATGGTTTCATGCTTGACCATGTTCATAATATCTGGATTCAACTAACCCAGTTGCAGTGGGAGGAAGATTGTGACTTCATCAGTGGAGTACAGCCACTGTGTCACTAAACATCATCTCCCAGCTCAACAAGCTTGAAACAATGTCAGCAAGATGGTTGCTGGTGGGACAAATACAAACTGGAGCATGGCATCCTTATCTAGTACCACCATGTGTGTCAATGTAGTATCTGGAGGTGCGTTGACGTGCTAGTTGGTTGTGTCAACGTAGTAGCTGGAGATGTGTTGACGTGCTGCTGTGAGCAATTGGTTGTGTCAATTGGTCAACATTATTTCTTTGTCCTTGACTATAATAAGTGTGTATGTGTAAGTATATGTAGACGGTATGTGGTACTGGCACTGTGCAGGTGCTTGACATGTTGATGACAATCAGCTTAGTACATCCACAAATATAGCAACCATAAAGTGGCTATGAATACATGACACGAATTTATGGATAACAACTTATTTAAATTCAGGTGATGAAGGAACATGTATTAGCTCTGAATTATCGTATAAGGAATTTAAATAAGTTGTAATCCATAAAAATGTGTCATGTATTCATGTTCGTCCAACTTCTAAATACATGTACCTTTCAAGAACTTCATAAAGTGGTCACATTCTATGGTAATATTCACCTGATGTAAATAATGTTTGAAATGTCCATATTGATATCATACTGCCTCCACTTGCTCAACTTCCACACAAAGCTGACACACCGTAATAGGAATGGAAGGGGAGTGTTAAAGACCCATGCTGCATCAGGGGCGGATCCTGCTTTTTGAGAAGGGGGTGCACACTTCATTTTCATGAGTGTTTCAATGGTCATTTAATAAATGTTCAGGACAAAAGGGGTGTGTGCACCCAGAGAGGGGGAGAGAGAGAGAGATCCATGTCACCCCACACTGGTCTCACCCATGTCATTGTTTACCTACAGTGTATCACACACCAGATGGATCACAGTGTATTAATCAGAACCTTACTCTTAAAACAGAAATGACCTTTCGTTCATTTAGCCCAGACAGTTAGTCTCAGGACAACATTTTGTGAATGATTTACACCATAGGTGTTGCCTTCAAGATTCTCAGCCCAATCAAACCTTGTTTTCTGGAAGAATATTCCTGGTATTAGTGGCCTTACAGTGGAATGGATGAATATTCCTGTGGAGTTGATGAATATTCCTGTGGAGTTGATGAATGTTCCTTTGGAATGGATGAATATTCCTGTGGAGTTGATGGATATTCCTGTGGAGTTGATGGATGTTCCTGTGGAGTTGATGAATATTCCTGTGGTGTTGTATGGTACTATATTTGACCAGGAATCCCATAGCACTGACTACAGAACAGCATGGAACTGATCATGTAGTGAGCAGACTGGCAAATATGTGTTTGACTTTCATCATGTAGCATGACATACACACCATATGGTCAGCGCCATGATAATGGTTCAGCAGGTTTGTGTGATCTACCATGTCCACATGGACCATCTCCAGCAGCACTGTATAGCCACTGTATGGGTGGTGGATGGCGCCACCGTCTTGACCCTGGTGACTGTGACACAGTATTCAGTTATTGACGCTCAAATTCATACAGATTAGTTTATCTTTTGTATACTTACATGTGTATATTTTGTACAGCAAAGCTATCTGTGAACTATTTTACTTAGAGAAATTGTGTTCAAACGAATCTATATTTGTTATTTTGTTGATAAAATGTTGATTTTAAAAATAAAGAACTTATCACATTATACAGCTGTATCGTCGTTGTGTTTTTCCTCACAGTATGTAACACAGGGGGATCTGCTTGACTGCCCATCTGTCTACCATTTTGTCCAGATCATAACTTTAAAACTAATTAGTATTGTTTCAGGAAACTTTGCCACACAAAGACCATGTCAGCAGGTGCCTTTTTGGGATATTTAAAAAAAATCTGTTTCCATGGCAACAAATGTTATGTTTACGTAACATGATTGTGTTTTTCATGAGTGTGTCTCCCAAACTACCAGTTTCCTCAGTACAGGTGACACGGTGACCAATTTAAACTGGTACTGTTGTGTAACATCCATTATCATTCCATATCGTGGAGAGGAAAGGGCCTGAAGGTCCAATCCCAAATTTCAAGGTATTATTTTGCCAGCTCAATTACTACAATTATATTTGATAGGAATACTGTCATCATGCTGGACCGATGGTGTTCATAGGACTTGCATTAAAGGACTGTTCATAACTTATGACTGGGCTTCTTTTCTCTGTGTAAAACCAGCTTCAGTCTGTGCAGTGTGTGTGAGTGAGAGAGTGGCCAAATATTCTCGCTACCCACGTTAAACCCAATTTCACCTCACTCTACTTTCTGTGTGTGAGAGAGCATGTACAAATGTGGAGGCCAAAATTTATGTACAAAGTCCTTGTACACAATCAATCTCCCCCCTTTCCCCCTAAAATGTCACTTCCCCCAAGCCATAAATTATTAACAGTCCCTAACAATCCAAAGATTTTCAGTGAAATGTCAGTAAAATATATTACAGTCCTCTCAAGACCAATCCATTCTCTGTAAACAATGACAAGTGCCTGAAGTCAAGTCATACAAGATGTCAGTAGTAATCTGTCCAGCAGGTTCTCCGAGTCCTGACTTACAGGTGTCAGCCTACAGCCATGATGTAACAATTACAAGGAGGATAAACAGTTTTACCAGATGTCAAAAGAACATCAAGAGATGTGTATTACACAAAACACATATCATCATATACAAATATAAAGAATCCATTCACCAATGTGTGAAGATGAGCAAATTATGAAAATGTTTAAATTCTCTTCTTAAAGTCCTCTATCAGATCTTTCCAATGTCCGTCTGTCCAGCTGTCCAGGCGCCGCTTGCCTCGTAGATCTGTCCTGATGTTGTGGTGTGAGGTGAACACGATGTGCTCCCAGGATGGATTCTTGCATGCTCCTGTCAGGACACAAACCAGCATACATAATATATGAACTCAGTCCTCAGGGAGAATAATGGACAAGGAAAGTCAAGGCGTAAAAATAATAAACTACAAAGACTGGTTTTCTTATCTGTCACATTCAAAGCTATCATAGGTATTCATTAATCTCATTAAAATCAGATCGTGTTCTCACTACCGTGGAACAAACATCTGATTACATCCTATTGCATCACCAACCTTTCTTACATTAATCAGAGAAATGACAGTCTGAATGTGTTATCCAGTCAAACTACACATGGCTGCCAGGGTATTGCTGAAAATGTGGGGCTTGTATGACTGATTATTCAATATTGTCATCCATCTTTTGCTTTGATGAGATAAACATTGGAAGAGAAAGCCCATGGAAAGTATTACTCCACAGTTTTTGCAAATGTTCTTTAGTTCAGTTTTAAATTATGAATCAAAAACTTCGTCAAAACATTTTTTAAAGCATAGTCTTGAATGAATATCTCATGTTTGAATCTAGCGCAAAATAGATTCAGAAAGCTGCTTTCTGATAGGTCAACTGTCTGATGTCAGTTCAGGTAATTGGTGGTTCAGAGTTGTGAAAGGTTGTCCTCTAACATTTGGCAGAACTGAGAAGAACTGAGATCTGATTATAATGAGATTGAACCTTTTATGACTGACTGACTGACTGAGTTTAACTTTACGTCGCTTTTAGCAATATTCCAGCAATATCACGAAATGGGCTTCACACATTGTACCCAAGTGAGGAATTGAAGCCGGGCCTTCGGCTATCGAGCCAACGCTTTAACCACTAGGCTACCCCACCACCCGAACCTTTTATGACCACTGTAATGAGTTGTCTCCCTATTTTCATTATTACAGGCACAATGTCACACATTTTGGACAATATTTTGTCCTAAATTACATATATTGGGGCATATGCACTCACTTTAGATTCCTGTTGATGCAATAAAAGACTTATTATCCCTGACGACTTGCCTGAAATTGATAATTGAAATTTCGCGGCAAACAGCTTCCAAACAGAGAACACTTGCCATATATATGGAATGTAAACAACTGCTCCTTACATGTTGTCAGAGTTTGCCAAACTGGTTTCAATCACAAGTTGAGTTAAAGTATATTCGTAATGAGTGCTCCAAGGGACATAACTCGATGGGGTTTGCTTGAAATAATGTTCTGCCGGTAGAGGGCGTGAGAGTCGATTTAAAGCAACTTTGCATAAATTTATTTGAACGTTTTAATTTAATATTGTAATCTAAATACATAATTTTTGGGGGGAATAAATTAAATGGTAGCTTCCCTGAGGCCTGATAGTTTGAATTATTGAGAGAAATGCATTAATATTATTTAGAGAAGTATGGTGTGATATATCCTAAAGCATTGTCTCTCAAGAAGTGCCAGGGTTAGTTAGACACATGTGTATGAACAACAAACACGTAGTAACTATCAATTCATTTCTCTTGGAAATAATAAAACCATCCTGGCAAGACTGTATCTACCATGGTTGTCCTCCAAAGAAAATACTGTCACTTAGACCAAGAATACTGACCATCCAAACAAGCGTATTCTGCTGAGTGTCCAGGGTGTTGAGTGTAAAGGCATATAAATATAAAACACCAGTGCTCCAGATAAGATTTAGCTCATGTGGGTACTGTACCCACTGTATGTTTTTGGAGTGGGTATTATGAATGTTGAGTGGGTATTTCATTTTCCGTTACCCACTGCTTTCAAATATGTGCATATTTCGGTCATTTTACTCACTTAAGTATTATGTGACTGAGAAAGTTTACTAAGCAGGTATGTTCTGCCTTATGTCATACCTAATCAAAACCAACTTAAATATAATGGAAATGATTTCATAAAAAAATCACTCGTCCTATACTGACAGTACAACAATAGTCGTATACGATCAGTACAACTTGATAGCAATCAATGCCTTTTTCATTATGCAAGTGATTTTTATAAATATATTCCATACGCATTTGTTTTAAAAATTTCAGTATGTAACATTTTAAATGCGTAATTGATACGCAACAAATATTTTTCAATGCGTAATTGGAAATTTTCCATGCGTATTTTACCCGGATACACAGTTTGTCTGGGCCACTGTAAAACACTGACTAATCACAGATGTGTTTTAGTTATATCACAGCTTGTCACCGAAAGTGATGATGGCCAGAAGTGATGACAGACTGAAGTGATGCCCGCCGTGTTCACTACACAAAAAGCTGTATGGTGTTGTCACTATGAACCTTAATCAGTCTCAGCATGATTCCAACACGACTGACAAAACCTGACATGATAAAGGGAGATAACTCAATGAGTGCCAGTGGTTTTAGTTCACAGTGTTATCAAGCCCCCTCCCTAAATAATACTTGTACTAACCCTTGATGTGAGGTCGGTCATCTATGAGTATATGGCCATATATCATAGTTTTGTCCTTAGCAATGATGGTGCGGTCCACCCAGTCAGCCCCAAGGTGGTCTTCCACCCACTGAAACTGTGGAGGAACAACATGCAGATCTGCAGCATCACATCTTGTACAGAGAGAAACTTGTGACGGTAAAGCATGAATGAATACTGAACAATTGTATCATTACATTCAGTAATATTGTGCACATTTACTTGTTTCTAGAACAGGATAACATATTTACTTGCTGCAGTCAATGCTTTCATTGATCTACATATTATGACATGAAGTGAGACAGCAAGGGTACTGCCTGTAGCAGTACATGAGTGACGGGTTACAGACCACTCAGGTGAAACCCATGATTATAGGTATGGTTTAATGATCAACAATCATAGACTGATCAGATACACCTCTCAACTCTTTACCTTACACAGGTATAACACATATAGGTCTACTTTGGATGCAGAGTTGGTTGGTGTTTTATGCCACACTCAATATTCCAGGCAATATGGACCAGACAAGCCAGTGATAAACATAATGAGCATCGATCTACGCAACTCAGATCCGATGATGTGTGTCAACCAAGTCAGCGAGCCTGACCACCCGATCCCATTGGTCGCCTCTTACGACATGCATGGGTTGCTGAAGGCCAGTTCTAACCTTGATCCCCATGCTTTTGGATGCAGGGAGATTGGAGCTCCACTGCCAGTCACTGGGGTTTTGTGTCAAAGTAAACAGACCTTCATAATATTTCAAGTTTCCAGTCCAAAGTTTGACACAAAATGATAACAATATAAGGAACAAGCAGGACCAAGCTTTCACTTCGAGACAAGTGTAAGTTCCCCACATTACACAGAACAGTGTTTGACTGTAGTATACTCATGACATGAACACTTTTCACACTCTTTTTTTCCAGCTTCTGACTGTGATGAACACTGTGTAACACTTGCCTTACTATTGGGGAGAGTGGAAGACCGATACACTTCATGTGCACCCACACCACATACTATAGTCAGGATTATCTCACCTTCTCACTGAGACAGTATCTGTAGCTTGTGAGGGGACTTGTGCATATAAACACGTCAACGCTGCAATACAAACATGCTTCACTGAATCAATGTAATCATACATCATACTGTCCCAACTACAACCGAATCCCATTTGCTGGAGCCTGGGAAGTGAAGAGTGAATGGGTGAGAGTATAAATAACTATGTTTTCTGTCTTCATTGCACCTGAGAAAACAGCAAGCAGAGACTCAGAAATGACACAACTGATTTGTTACATCCAACCAGGGGAATGGAAAACTTTGACTAAGATGTAAGTGAGAAGTTACAAACATTAGACCTTTAACACAAGAAATACACTTTGACTCACTCCTCCATGTCTGCCATCGCCTTGGCCGCTGCGATGCTGCCCTGTATCTCCGGAAGGCTCAAGAAGAAATACTCCTCCATGTAGATCTCCCTCACCCGGTCCTGTAAACACACCACATAGTCCATGATGTCTTGGGGACAGTTCATCATTTATGCTCTGTGTGTGTGTGTGTGTGTGTGTCCGTGTCCGTGTCCGTGTCCATGTCCGTGTCCGTATCCATGCATGCATGCATTTGTGATATGATAATCTTAAGTGGGGGGTCACCCATTTTGGTCTGAGGACGTGGGGACTCCTCAATTTTGTACACATATACTGGGGGGGGGGGTAGGGAGGAGGGTTGTCACTGATTTTAAACATGGTGTGTGTGTGTGTGGGGGAATTCTCACTTACTTTGTACATACATTTCAGTGAGGGGAAAAATTTCACATTGTAATGTATATTTTTGTTTTCTTTAATTCTGGAGATTTACATTTTGGTCTTCATGTCATGTCATACTGATCAACTATCTACCATAAAAGAGACATTTGCGAGTGGTGGATTTTCCATCCTCACTGTTGTTGGTACCTGTTCAAGAGCAGATTACTGATACCACAAATTACTGTTTGTCTTGTTATGGAAACATTTATAATGAACAGAATATTCTTCAAAGGATTCTTAATACATACTGGCAGATCGGACCTTAGTTTAGCATACTGGTCCCTCAGGTAGAACGTGTTTCGGTCCTTCTCTTCTATGAAAGGCAGGTCTGGGAATCTCTCCTTATATCGCTGAAGGAAATATCCTTCGAAATCAGCCAGAACTTGGTCTAGATCCAGAAGTACTTTCAGTCGAGCTGGGCCAACTGTCTGAGAATGGCCCTTGAAATTCCGTCTGGCCATGACAATTATTCCTTTCACAAATGAAAGACAAAACCAATTATTTGACCTGGTTATCTGAATAGAGCCCCAGCAACCTGATGGTGGAGATTGTCTAGTGACTGCGCACGCCAGGGCTGAAAACAATACAAGTCAATATTAGTCTTAAATAAATGATTATCTGTTCTTAGTTTTAACAGTGTGCTCTATACACATGTAATCCTCCAATATTATCACTTTTATTAAAGTTAACTATAGCTGTGATATAAGTATATTGTGCACGCGCACACACAGACACACACAGAGCGAGGGAGACTGACACAGACACTAAGTACTATTCTCGTCTCTGTACGCTCTCTCTCTCACACACACACACTACCAATTTGTTGATCGTTCTCGTCCCGTGATATTGTCTAGTTTTCTAGCTACCTGCAGTTATCTGTGGTAATGACATATCAATAAGTGTCTTATTTTCCACTGTTTATATTTAATGTAATACATTCTGTCTTTTTGATACTTTTGTGCTAATTAATGTACAATATGAATTTCCCCTTGGGATACGTGTTATCTTATCTCACAGTATTTGTTGCTTGGAACCAGGAAACGACCACACGCCCACTTTGTTGCTTCCCTTGACGACCTGGCAAACATGTGAATCAGATCAAACTGACATCAGTAAGCACACCATCAACTGCCCATCAAGCGTGTGTGTGTAATGAAGAATGTCCCAAGTTCAAATGTATGTGAAAACACAAAGCTGATGTTGATTGACGGCGATATCCGTGTCCTGTTCACGCGTGTTTACTAGGTTGGTTGAAAAGGTAGATTAGTACTAAAGTTAAAACGAAATATGATTGAAAAGTGTAATGTTTGCTCTGTTAAGTTACATACTTAAAGCCTGGTAACATTGAAAATAAACACATTTAGTTGTCTTTTGGGAGACACAATCCACACCGAACTTTATTTGTCTCAGCAATACGTCAAGTTCTTGTTTTGTAACCACAAGAGGGTTCGTTCCTTTGTAACATAAGAATACGACCACTGGGGTTCGAAACAGTGTTAGGGCAATATTTTTTAATAATACAAATCTAAACTTTTGCAACCATATATTGTTTTTAAATGTTATGATTAACCTTTGTTTCAAATTTGAACGAAATCGATGACGAAATAAAGATTTTAGAAAGTTCTATCGCTACGTCATTCCCAGCGGGCACACAACGTTGAATCAACGTTGAATCAACGTTGAATTTTGGTTGTTTGGTTGATCAACCTTTCATAAACGTTGATTCAACGTTTATTATGCGACCAAAGAAAGTTAGTCGAGATTCGTTTAGTTGTCAACGTTGTTTCAACGTAAGGAACCAACAAAATGTCAACTAATTGTTTCCTCGGCAAATTTGATACATAATTCATATTGGTAATAGGTATCCAACTTAGCAACTATCATTTCGGAACATTATTTTCATAAAAGATCAAGATCGAGCTAGTGACAGATATAATCTTATATATTATTTGATTGTGCATCGATCAACGGACGGAAATATTACGTAAATCGCAGTTTTAGGTATAAAGTCATCAGTTATCCAAATTGCATTACATTTAATATTTTCCCACAAAACTGTGAAAATTGTATAATTCCCGACAATTTGCTTTCAAACACAAGCCAGATGTTGACCTTTCGATCGCCTCGTTTGGCCATATCCGGACATGCGCACAATTATCGCGCGCGCAAAGGCAACTGATCGTTGTCAGTTCACTTTGGCGAAGTTCAACGCAATATCGTTCTATTTTCACCATCTTCACGGCATGCTGGTGTTTATTTGGTAAGTATGTCCTTCATGTATAATGAAAACGTAGGAATGCCGTTTAAATCTAGCCGTAGCAAGAAACTCCGAATTAGGGCTCATGTTTTATCTCACAAGGTTACCGGTATGTCACAGTACAACTACATGTTTCTCAAAATTTTGTTTTGTTATTTTTCAATATATTTGCATGCATATATTTGGCATTTTATTATATAATCGAATAAGATTTCCTTTCGTACCCATCACCTGATTTGAATTTTGCAAATATACATTTTCAAATAATCAGTGAAAGTACATCAATATAAGGAACCGTTCATATAAATATATGGCTGCAGGTGGGGGTGTTGATTGTAAGGGTTGGAGGGTGGGGTGGGGTGTCACCCATTTTGTTCAGGGGGCTAAGGGGTCAGCATTTTGTACACACGCACTATGTTTAGAAATTATGGGAAGGGGAGAGGCGTCATAGATAATGTACATGACATGCAGGGTGGAGCGCGTCTCTTATTCTGTACATACTCATACACTTTAGGGGGTTGGGGGTGGGGGTTAATTCACATTGTACATAAAAATCAACATCACCCCAAAGCCATACATTATGAATGGTCCCTAAGGGCAGCTATACAAAATAGGATAGGATTAATCAACATTGTATATTGCATCCCATTATTATGAACATTTGTTCGTTTGAATAGATCTATCAGTAAATGATGCATTGAGCAGCCCTGAACCCTATCAACATATGTATATTATTGGGGGAGGTGGTAGAGAATGGCGTAAGGAAATGCAGCGAAAATTTTCACTTTAAAATGTCTTGTGAAAGTCTTTGTTAAGGATGAAATTGTATATAATTTATTTGAACTTTTATTTATTTACAAAAGTGTAACTTCACTAATGATTCTTTGATGGCACAATTAACAAAACTGCACCCACAGACTTTCATTCTTACACTTGTTTGGAAGGGATATGATAATTCATGTCTCTTAAAGGTTAAAATCTTACATACAAAAGAAGTAATTTTAATGTAAGGAACATTTAATTATGAAATAAGATTATTTTAATGGAATTTGCAGAAATCTCATCTTCGAAGACTGGGTGGCAGCAATTTCGTGGATCACATAAAAGGAGCAAGGCTAAGGTACCACGTTTTTGACATTTCACTTGTTTCCAGTATATCCACCACAAAGTTTAAGAGAAAGATGATAATGCTCTTTCATTACCACCTGTTTTGAATATTTGTGATAATGTTTGGTCTTTTTTGGTGATAATAGTTGGTCTTTATTTTCATTTATATATTAAGGTTGATCATTTAAGAGAAAAATTGACAATGATTTCTCGGAGATGTTTAGTTTAATGAGCACTCCCTTGCTTGGCCATATTGTTTTTTAGTAAGTAAACAGCTGGATGCAAGATAGGACGTGAGAGTACAGAAGTCATACATTTATAGATATATAGAGATGTTTATTGCTGGGAAACACACTCTTCAGGTATTTGGTCAGCTGTAGAATTTGAATATGATGTTTTTATTATTGTCGAAGGGTAGGTTTTCATTATTTGCAATCTAATATGTGTGCAGTGAAACATACTGAGATTTGAAAGAGTCCATTATTTAAAGTACAGGTGTTGTTAGATATCAGCATTTTATGTACATGTTCCTTGTTAAGATCATCTATCAGTATATTAGAGAAGGTGTATATTTGTAGTGTTTTAAATCAGAGTTATTTTCAGTGTATGACCTACATTTCAATATGTTTTGGCCACCTGTCACCCTTTGGTCAAATAGAGTAGGACTTCCATTTCTTGGAATTGAGAGTCAGAGATGCACTGTTTCCAAGAATTTATGTGTGCCAGCGATGTTTGTTCTAGGAGTACATTTAAGTCTTTTTGAGTGTAGATTGGAGTTGTAAGAGATGTTATTCAATGTCTTATTATTCATGGTATGATAGATTATTTCTGGCAATGTAGAGTTTAATCTCATTATTTTATTGTTCATGATTCAGAGAAGCATAGTTATGACACCATAACATAATTCATTATATGAGAGATTTTCTAAGCGTTCTTATAAGAGATTAAGTGTAAACATTTATGAATTATAAAAAGTTATTTATCTGAGTTTTATGAGTGTACAAATGACAAAGAGAGAGAGAGAGATGATAGAGAATATATTGTATACTTATGAGAGCTCATTATTGTTTTCAGAACTCCATGATCCATACTTCCTTGTGTTTGGGAACAAATGGTGTTGGGAGACCTCCCACAATAGACTTGTTCTTTGACCTGTGAACCACCACCCATTTTGTTTTCTTATCATTTAATGTAAAATGGCTTTTGTTACAATTTATGACTCCAGGTAGCAAAATTGCTACATCAGTTCAACTCCTATTAATTTGAAATACTCATTATTCAGTAATCATTTCCGAGAATCTCTAAAGAAAACTAAATCTGACAGAATAACAACAATCTTCCATTGTTTTGCAGGACAATGTCAAACAATTTGATGTCAAGAATGAATGTTGATGGGCAAAACGGCAAGTTTTCTTTTAAGAATACAAGGTTGTATTCAATCATCTCTGGTAAGTTAATTACCAAGTGCAGCATTTTCATCATGGCCATAGCAAATAATATATGACAGTAAAGCATCGTCTAATTCATCCTGCCTGTAATTCATAGTCTAATTAAATAATCAACTTGCAATTGAGGATTTTCTTTGAAAATGTTTAAGAAAACTTCCATTCCTTAGGTTGAAAATATAAATTGTTTACACTTTTAAGTCATATTTTGTATTGATGCTGTTCATATGTTCACATGCCAAGTTACAGCAGTGAAATGAACCTTTCAAGTGATTGATTAAACAAATACTTGAATCATTTAAGACAATATATCTTCCATATAACTTATTCATGTATTTAAATATAAAATTTCAGAATGTGTCCTATCTCAAGGGAATGAGATGGGAATGCATCGAAGCAAATTTCAAGAAAGAGTTAGGAATGTTTCTGATGTATCCAGCCAGACCGCCAGGAAGGAGTGGCAGAAAGAAGAGGAGCTGATAATTGTGTTTTTGGAGTTGTAATTGTGTTGAAAAATCTGAACTGTGGTATTGAAATTGGTGGCGTAAATGTCACTTTGATGCTATATGCAGATGATATTGTGTTATTAGCACAACAGAGATCACCTACAGACTATGTCATGTGTGATGTTTTACATTATGCATTAAACCACGTTTTTCTGTGTGAGTGTGTGTTCATAAAGATTTCATGAAAAGTGACTTGTTTTATGTGCTGTCTTCAGGTATAGTTCCTGGTCATCTTGGATCCCTTTCATGGTGAAAGTAATTGCATTGTGTTTATTCAGGGTCTATCTATGAGCTGAAATTCAGACAAAATGTCTTCTGGGGACAATTTTCACATTTTCAAGGTAACAATACAACAGTAAATAGTTTTTCTTAATTTGGAATACTCTTTTCTTCTTACTGGAATTATACGTCCAACTGACATAGAACTTAAATGAACATTATATTGAATGTGGAATTTTAACCAAGTATTTTATCAGGTAAATATATTTACTGCAATTTTCTGTTTGAACACTGTTTATTGCAGGTAGCTTTTGGGGTAATTTAGCTGGATGCACGAGTGTGGTGCTACTTTATTGTAGTTTAAAGATGAAATGCGAGTCTATTTACAGGAAAGCGTAATACCTCCCAGACACAACCACAGAACAACCCATTTTCAACGTTAATAATATGTCAGACTTCAACATTGATTCCACGTCGGATATCTACGTCAAAAAAACTTTCATATACAACCTATTTTCAATCTATTTTCAACGTTGAGGATCAACCTATTCTCAACGTTGATAATCGGTCAAACTTCAACGTTGATTCCACGTCGGATATCTATGTCTAAAAAACTTTCATATACAACCTATTTTCAACGTTGAGGATCAACCTTTTTTCAACGTTGATAATCGGTCAAACTTCAACGTTGATTCCACGTCGGATATCTACGTCAAAAAAACTTTCATAT